CTTCTTCTTCTTCTTCTTCTTCTTCTTCTTCTTCTTCTTCTTCTTCTCCCCCCCCTCTCATCCTTCTCATCTACACATATATATTACATTTCTTCTACCTTCTGAATATTCTGCATGTTCTCCCCCAGTAGGAAAGACGTAAGCAAAAGTTTAGTTACATAGCTGAATTTTCCATGGGGATTTTGCAGGCTGTTTCTAAGGGCTTATATTTCAATTACCTTGTGTTTTCTTCCTCAAAGTGGTGGGAATGTCTCCTGCCAGTTTTCAGTGGAAGTGGTCCCCTCTGAGAGGCCCTTGCTATAAAGACACAAAGAAGGGCCCTGGCCTGGTTGTGCCCTGCTGAGAGAGCACTTTCGAGACTGGCATCTTGGGAAGCCAAATGAGGGCAAAGCATTAATGAGAAAAGCCTGGCATTTTCCCTGGGGAAAGGCACTGGTACTCATGGAAACAGATTAAACTGCAAATATTCAAACATCAAATGGATTATCTGGATTCCAAAGCACTTAAAAATCACACGCTGTTAGTTAAAATATAATTTTCTAATAAAGGAACCTCTCTGGAAGTCAGTATTGCTCCCGAAATTAATGATTCATCCTTAAAACCCAAGTTTATGTAAATGCTATTTCCCAATTACTAACCATTTGTTTCACACCCTCAAACCAGTTACTTTGTTCTCCCATTGACAGTTACTTTCATGTAATTTGTTGCTTAAATTAATATTTTGCATCTAGATGCACAAATTCAAACCAATGTAAACTGAAAGAGGCCATGCATAAAATTACACTGTAAGAAACTTTCGATACGTATCTCTAGCCCAACAAAAAAGAGGGGGATAGCAATATATATTAGGAAACATTTACAAGCAAAACAGGTATATGCAGACAAGGAGGGTAGGATTTTGATGTTACAAGTTTATATAAATTATAAGAAAATGTTATTGACAGTGATATATGCACCGAACGAGAAACAAGAAAAATTTTATACCAAACTATACAGAAAATTAGTAGAACAGGAATATGAGAACATATGCCTGCTAGGTGATTTCAATGCAATAGCAAATTTAGGAAAAGATTACAATAATGAAAATCCAGGGAAAAAAAGGAAAAGGAAAACATTACCAAAAGTATTCTATCAAATGGCAGAAGAATTAGGATTAAAAGATATATGGAGAGAAAGAAATCCAGACAAAAAACAATATACTTACTATTCAGCACCACACACATCATGGTCAAGATTGGATAAGTTATGGACAAATGGGGAAATGGAACATAATATAAAAGAAATAGAAATTGAACCTAACACATAGGTGGACCATAATCCCATTGAAATAATTTGGAAAGGATTGGGAAAAAAAACCAAAGATGGATACTAAACAAGGAGATCCTAAAAGAAAAAGAATATGTTAAGATGATGGGAAAAGAATTGGAGTTCTTTCTGAAGGAAAACAAAAAACAACAAACATCAATTCCAAACCTATGGAACACAACTAAAGCATATATCAGGGGCCTAGCAATTTCATATAATACACGTAGATACAAGGGGGAAAAAAGGAGAACAATCTAAACTACTAGATACTCTTAAGGAGTTAGAAAAAAACACTAGAAAAAACACCACATAATAAGACAGCAAATATGGAGAGTATAATGATTAGACATAAATTGAATATGTTAGCACAAGATGACTGGTTACAGGACATGAAAAAGATAAAACAGAATTATTTTGAACACGCGAATAATCCGGGAAGGTGGCTAGCCCATAGACTGAAGAAAGAAAAAGAAAAAAGAGTAATTCAACAATTGAAAGACGCTGATGGTACGCTACAACATCAAACTGAAAAGAAAAAACATATTGTTAAAAGTATTTTTGAGGAATTATATAGTAAGGAAGACGTACCAGAGGGAAATATCCAACATCACTTAGAAGGAAAAGGGCTACCTGTGATCCCAGAAGAGGATAAAGAAGAGATAAACAGGGAAATAACATTATGAGAACTGCAAGAGGCAATCCTGAAACAGAAAAACAATAAGACACCAGGACCAGATAGTCTCCCAGGGGAACTGTATAAAACGCTCCAAGAAAAATTAGAAATGCAATTATTAGAACTCTATAATGAGGTACTGATGACAGCAAAATTACCTAAGTCATGCTGGGAGACATACATAACATTGATCCCAAAAGAAGATTCAGACCATCAATAAATTCAAATTATAGGCCCATATCCCTTTTAAATGTTGATTATAAAATATTTATGTCCATAATGGCAGAAAGATTGAAAAAAACCCTTAATCAGATCATTCATAGCAACCAAAACGGATTCTTACTGAATAGACAAATTAAAAATAATACCAGAATGGTAGTGAATATAATAGAATATTATGAAGCAAACCCAGGAAAACAATTGGCAATGGTCTTCCTCGATGCGCAAAAGGCATTTGACAATGTTAATTGGCAGTTCATAATACAACAATTAAAAAGCATGCAATTTGGCAATAAATTTATTAAATTGATTTTGACAATTTATGCGACACAGACGGCCAGTGTAATAATGAACAGTGACAGAACAGAAACATTCAAGATCAACAAGGGAGTAAGGCAGGGATGCCCACTGCCACCCCTTCTCTTTATTTTTACCGTAGAAAACTTATTGGAAAAAGTTAGGAAAAATGTAGAAATCAAAGGGGCTTTGATTAAAAAGGAGCATTATAAGGTACAAGCATTTGCTGATGATATAGGGTTTTTTTTTGGAAGATCCAGAGGATACGGGAGTAAAATTAATAAAAGAAATAGAGGAATTTGGCAAGGTCACAGACCTTAAAATTAATAAAAACAAAACAAAATTATTGACTAAAAATTTAAAAGATAAGCAAAAAAAGAATTAGAAGAAAAATCGGGAATTCAAAGTGTGAAAAAGGTAAAATATTTAGGCATTTGGTTAACAGCAAGATGTTCTTCAACCAAAAAAGATAACTATGACAAATTAATAATACAAATCAAAAAAGAATTGGAAATGTTGGGGAAATTACAGCTATCACTACTGGGGAAAATTGCGGCAATTAAAATGTCTACCCTACCAAAAATGCTATATCTTTTTCAAACTGTACCAATAAGATTGGATAAAACCTTTCTTAGAGAATTAGATCGAATAATAAGTAAATTTGTTTGGGATGGGAAAAAAGCTAGGATAAAATGAAATGGTTACAGGACAAAAGAGAAAGGGGTGGCTTTGGACTCCCTGACTGGGAAATGTATTATCAGGCTGTGGCTATGGTATGGATTAAAGATTGGATCAACCTGGAAAATGGAAGAGTATTGTCGATAGAGGGTCATGACTTGCAGAGAGGGTGGCATAGTTTCCTATGGGATGGGAAATGTAAACAGCATGCATATTTTCAGAGACACATGATTAGAGATTCATTAATTCGGACATGGAACAAGATTAAAAAGAATCATTATATTAAAATACCGAACTGGTTGTCAACTATGGAAGCACAAATCTACCCAAATGCAATGGATCTGGGGAAAAAGAGGAATTACAAAGACATATTAGACACACAAGGAAGATTAAAAACAAGACAAGAATTACAGCAACAAATATAAAGATAGATTGGTGGCCATTCATGCAAATTCTGGCGAGATATCAGAAGGACAAAGAACAATTTGGTTTCTGCACAGAAAAGCATCAATTAGATAAAATTCTACAAGAAATAGAAAAGAAAATGATTTCAAGAATATATAACTTTGTACTAGATTTTAAAATGGAAGAAGAGGTGGTCAAAGACACAATGGTGGTATGGGCAAAAAATGTTGGCCACAATATAGACCTGGAAAATTGGGAGAGAATGTGGGGATCAAATTACAAACTAATTACATCCACAGCATACAAGGAAAATCAATACAAAATGTCTACAGATAGCACCTTCCTCCCGCTAGATTGGCAAAAATGTTTAACTCAGACCCAAATTGTTGGAAATGTGGAAAAGAAAAAGGCACTTATTTTCATACCTGGTGGACATGCCAGAAAGTGAAAAAATATTGGAATACAATTAGCCAATGGATAGAAGTCATGAATCAGAAAATTGAATTTAATCCGGAAACTTTTTTATTAGGTATAATAACACAAAAATTCAATAAAACAGATAGATATATTATGTTACATATATTAACAGCTGCAAGGATTTCATACACACAACTCTGGAAGGAAAAAA